TGCAGGCCTTCCTTGCCCTGTCCCTGCGCTCAGCACAGCATGCGGATCCGCAGGGCAGGCTCGGACACCAGGACATCTGCCTGACACCCAACAGGGACCCCACTCCTCCAGCACATAAAGCATCTTAACTCAGCAACGGGGCTTTGGTTTACATCCTTCTACCCCTCTCCATTTTGGCAAAGTCCCGTTTGCTGGCAAAAATCTCAGCGGCAGCAGCAAACAAACCCACACGGGGCTGGTGCTGCCCCACCCCTCCATCTGTCCCCATCCTTGCTATGGCTCTCCAAAGTGGCCATGGAGCCCAAAGCCAGGCTTCAGTCCCTGGTGGCAGGGGCACAGCAGGCAGTGCAGGGAGGGAGGCTGTGATGCCAGAGGGAGGAGGTAATAAGGCCACCAGGCCCCTGTCTAGCCACCAGTGGACCTGGCTGGAGCTCAGAGAGCTGGAGTCTCTCCTTCTCCCCAGCCAGAGAGCCTGTGCAGTGAGGGGGATGGGGAGAACACTTCCCAAGAGACATTGCAGAATGAGACAACTCTCTGATGACACGGGAAGGGGACAGGGCTGCTTTTCCTGGGGAGAGCAGTTTAACCATCCCACATCTGTTAGCAGCCCTTGAGAAAGGAAGAGGGACAGAAGAAGGAATTTCGGGGAGAGAGACACTAACTTTGGCTCAACTCTTCAGCTGACTGGTACAGTCTTCCCTTAACTCCAACGTATGCAGCTGGCTGCGATGGGCCTCCCCGGGCTGCTTCCTACCAGCTCCTGTGCCAGGGAGAGACCTGAACGACGTAAAGCAGGAGACAGGGTAGAGGGGCTGGAGAAAAAGAACAGAAAGGAAAAGGAGAAGAGGAAAAGGCATGGCCTTGCGTTATAACGGCAGAGTCCTAGATCTTAAATACATCATGTAAAATACAGCATGGGAAGGGGGGGGGAGTTAAAACTCATTATCATTATCTTAAGCAAACTGATAGCATTATTCAGTAGTTAGTAAACAGAACATTAAACCTTTGTCCAGCGTGTTTGGAGGGGTCAGGAAGGGAGAAAGGGAGAAAAAAGGAGGAAGGAGAGGTGTGGATGTGTGTGTGAAGGGGAGCAGGAACTCAGCCACTCTTGTGACTCCCATCTCCAGTCCGCATTTTCCGAGCCAGGATGACCTCCTTGGAGACCTTCTTTCGATCGCTGGCCAGCCCCAAGAGGCACATGAGGTCGATGAAGGCCGTGGTTAAGTTGAAGCGCCAGCCAAACTCACTGGTGGAGTAGTCGTAGGGGAAGGTGTGGTGGTAGTTGTGGAAGCCTTCTCCTGTAAAACACGACCAGGGAGAGGATGTTGCAGAGCTTTAGGTGATGGCCCCTTTATCTTGGCCCAAAGCACCACATTCCTGAAACAGCTTCTGGATGGAGTCCAGGCTCCTCTCTTCTCTCAGCCCAATTTCACCTCTCTACAACCTACGCCATCTCATTTGGGTGTGGTCCAGTATGCCTGGTCTAGCCCAAATGAGGCAATGACAGTCACAGAGGACCTATGGTGCTTTAGAGGAAAACAAGAATGTGGCGAGGAACTGAGAAAGGCCCTGGCTCATCAACTGCACCAAAACACCGAGGTAATCCTAATGGCTTTTCCTCTGCCACCACGAGAAACCCTCTAGTATTGGCTGAGCTACCAGCTAGACCTGCGGCAAGTCCGCAACCAGCCAGGCCAAGCAATACTCCTGCAACACTGGCAGTCCTAGTGCCAAATCCAAAGGGCATTGCCAGATGGCAGTAATGCAGACAGACTTCTGCTAAGTGATCTACCCCAGTCAGCCACCCTCTGCTCTGGACACTGTCAATGGTGGCTTCAGTAGTCACCCCTTCAATGACATCGCCTGCACTTCTGCTCCTACCCCCCTGACTCTCTGCAGTTCAAACCCCTCCCTACTAAAAAAACCAAAACTAAATCTGTTGGTGGTGGAAATCAGTGCAGCCCCAGTGACATTACAGTGATGCAAAACAGGTGAGGATTTGGGCTTGGGAGACCAGATCAGGGTAAATGCTGATCCTGGGATGTACCTTCTTAGGTCCCCCAGATTTCAGGAAAACAGGAGATGATCTGGCTTCTCTCATCCTCAAGTACCCCCAGAATCACCAGCTGCCCTGAGAACATGTCCAAATGTGCATCTGCTGGTTTTCAAGTTGACAAATCTAAGACAGACATGCAGAGACCGCAGCACATGTTTTTCAGTCTGGTGAATGGGGCAGAGAGACCTTCGAGCAAGGTAAATAAAATATTGCTATTGAGATAAGGAGGTGCTAAGTGTAGCAGTGTCCTTTCCAGCTTACAGAGAGGCTGGTGGGAGCTGATAACCTCACTGCCCTTATGTACTCACTGGCTAGCCTGGGAAACACCCCCATATGCAAAGGCTGGGGAGGAAGAGTGAAGGGGGAAATGGGGACACCTGGATACACAGAAATTCCTTGGGGCAGCTGCAGCTCCAAGGGTCAGTTCCTGCTCTACAATCCACCCGCAGCAAAAGACATGGACGCTGAACATACCTAGGGCCCCCAGGCTGACCAGGGGGTTCTCCCGTGGGTTGATGTGCTGATCATACGGCCGGTTGCCAAACATGTGAGCAGCACTGTTCACCAGCCAAGTGGCATTGAGCCCTATGGTGTAGCGCAGGATGGCTGGAATGAAGAAGCTGATGATGATGGATTCATCCCAGAAGTACCAGGGCACTACAGTGGGCAGCAGGAAGCACAGCAACACGACCGAGGGCTTGTAGTATCTGGAAAGGAAGAGACCAGGAGGAAAGCACTCAGTGGCAGAGGCAGGACAGGAAAGGGTAGTTCAGTCCTCCCTTTGGAGGATTCATACTCAGCTATACAGGAAAAATCAAGTGCAGAAATACCTCAACACCTGAGCCCTGCATCTTTCACCCTGGATGCACAGAAGCCATGCCTGGAGACTCCCAAGTCTTACCACCAGGCAGGACACTCAAACGGAAGTCCTGCTCTCCCTGTCTCAATCTCACACATGCACAAACAATGACCCAAACACTACGAGTCCAGACACCAGCTGCTGCTTTTGGCCTCATCTGCCATTTGCTCCTCTGCTATGCTGGTCCCCATAAAGGCAACCCCATCCTTGCAGAGTCCCACAGAAGGTCCCTTCTCTGGCTCTGGCCCAGTGCTGCAGCTCCTCCTCGCAGACTTGGCCCTGCCTACCAGTACAGCCCACCAATAAATGCAAGCAAGGGACACTTGTGCCATCAAACTGATGAGCATGTGGGGTCTGTCACACTAGAGGGGTGGGAGTAGAAGAAGCTAAATCACTCTGATGACCCACAAGAAAAATCCCAGACACAAAAAGAGGGACGACACAAGCCTTGCTTGGTTTGTCTGTGACTGAACTAAGGACCTCCCAAGTGAAAGTGGTTACTATATGGGTTCAATCTCCCATCCCTGCAGCCCTGGTGATAGGCTCATCTTCTCTGTGGATCAGTCCCAGTATAGCCCCAGGCAGCTGAGAGGTACCCCATCCAAGAGGCACCAGGGAATCAAGTCTGCCCCTCCCAGTTACTGACTCCCTCATGTCCCCATTTTCAACTCCTTTCACCCTCTCACATGTCTCCATTTGCAACTCCTCTTTCACCACACTGTTTCCAGGAGACTGATGGCAGAGGCATGGCCTGGAAGGTGTACCGCAACATCTCCAAGGATGGCCTGGAGGCGCCCACGGGTGGGCTGTGGGCAGGCAGGCATGGAGGTGCTTTGTGGTGGGAAGCTCAGCCCAACACTGGCAAGATGCTACGGGGTAGGCAGGCAAGAAAGGGGTGTGGGAGGACTGGAGGTAGCACTAGCTTCTAAATGCTTCCTATTGAAGAGGTACAGCTCATTTCTCACAGTTCATCCCAGAGCAAAGCCTTGGGCAGGCTGAGGACTCACATTTCTCACATGTTGTCCCTCAGTCCCCTCGTGCTCCATCAAAGGTGCTCAGGGTCCCTAGCCCATTTGCAGGGTCCCTGCTCCATCCCACGTGGCTCTGTGCTGGGGCTGACCCCATCACTCACCTTCGCTGGAACATCACCACTTTGTCAGCCTTCATGTCACTCAGGTCCAGCTTCTGGCCCTTCTCTATGACATCTGGGTGCTTGCGCACCAGCAGCCAGCCGATGTGGGAGAAGAAGAAGCCCCGCATGGCATTGTGTGGGTCCGCGTCTGTCTCGGAGAACTTGTGATGGACGCGGTGGTCCCGGACCCACTCATAGATGTCATTCTGCAATGCAACAGGAGTGGAGACTTAGGGCCAGCACTGGAGACGTTCCCTTCAGATTAACAAAAGTGCCTAAAATATTTAGACATCTAAATCCCATTGACCTGAACTTGTATCCGTCATTTTATCTTTCATTAGGGTTTGGGGGCTTTGACATTTAAAACAAAGGTTGGGTCTTCCTTGCTCAACCACTTCCATTTTTTTTTTTTCAAATCCAATTCTTCGGTGGGCTGCTTTTTAAAAAAAAAAAAATAAATTTAGAATTTAAATTAAAAACTTTAGGCTTCTGTTTGCACCACAACTTTGATTGGTCAGCCTGTTCCCCCACCCCTGTGGGGGAACCAGCCCTCATTGGCCAGTCAGTGCCTCCTCCCTCAAACACTCAGCTCCTGTTGTTCACTTGTCCCCATCCCTACGTGGTGCCAGCTGGGATTGATCAACCTGCCCCTTCCCTTCGCCCTGACATTTTCCATGGGTCAACCTGCTTTGCTTTTCCTGGGATTGCCAAATCAGATCTGTTTATAATTAAAGCCCTCTTTAGAAATAGAATAAACACACCATTTCAATGTCAGTTATCAAAAATACCCCCCTTCAGCCCCTGTTCCATTTAAGCTGCAAAATCAATACTGTTTAGAAAATGTCAAAGCTTTCATCATTTGTGTTAAGAAATAATTGCTTTGGCCAGTTTTAAGAATACATTTTAATGAGTCTGTGCTCATTCCTTTACACCAAAATTTTGATGTGCTTAAAGCCATGTATGACACCATCCTAAATCCAACTTCTCTGAAATCACGACCCACTGGTCTCTGAGCAGCCAACAGGCATTTTCTGCAGGGCCTCAGATAAGATAATCTCTAGTTTTCTCTAGCCTTAACAGTTATTGTTCTCGTCTTAAAGCTGCTGCCACTAACAGGAATGAGATAAATTGATAATGAACCCTCTCTTGACCTCACTGAAAGTAACTATTAAAAAAAAACCAACCAAGTGTCCATGGGGAATGGTACTGAATTTTCAGTAAAACTTTGGATTAGTTCCTATTGAAGCTGAAATATCTGTCTGACTCATCTTTGTCTATTCCTATCCCCTACTGTGATAGCTCAGCAAATTCTTTCCCCCTCTGCCCTATAACCCTGTGAAAGATGGTCTTTGTACAGGACTAGCCAATATACAGCAACGCATCCCATTCCCTTGCTGAGTGCTGGACCAGTAGCTAGAATCAGCAGCTTGGTCCTTCCTCTTCTTCCTCATCAAAGACTCTGGTTTGGTACTAGCAGAAAATAGGAAAGTCAATGTTGTTTTAGAAAATTTTTCAAGGCTAAAAGAAACCCCAAACCATCCCCACCCTGTTCTGATTACACCTCAATGAAGTGATATCCTCTACGGCTACATAGTGGGGAAAGATGATGTCTCTACCCTACCTGGTCCACCTGGGCTTTACCCTTCCCCATACCTGAGCTGGAGACTTACTTAGGGCCACAGCACTGATACTGGTAGAAGGAAGTGAACACAAAAGTACATGCTGCACCCTGCCACCCTCCCAAATACTTCCTACACACAAGCAAGCCTGTATAAAGTCCCTTCAGGTACAGCTGGAGGACAGAGTGTCGTTAGAGCTGTGTCATAGCAGCCAGCCCAAGAGACCACCAGCATTTTTCTGTGCCATGCCAATCTGGGTCTGTGCTACTTTCTACAGTCCCTAAGGACTTCCAGGTTTGTTTGCTTTGTTGACTGTGAAGTGCTCCCGTGAGTGGTTAGGCAATGTCCTGAGGTGCCTGCAGTCACTTGTGCCACTCTGAATGAGCCCAGCCCTTCTCTCCTTGAAACATCACTGACCTGTGACGACTCTCTGGAAGCCAGCGGTGTGACTTATAACCATGTTATTCCTAAATATCACTCTTCCAAACTAGAAAAGCATCCCCCTAACTGCATAATCTCAACAACTTCTTGGTCTTTGTGCAGCAGCCAATTCCACAGCCTGGCTCCCGGGGCTGTGCACATGCTGTCACCCTTATCAGCCATGCAGCAAGAGGAGGGTGAGGCAACTAGAACACCAGGAGAGCACTTAGCACTTCTGCACCTCTTTCACAGGACCTCGAACAAGCACAGAGAGACCACACCTCGAGGAAAGGATACATTCCTGCTTTACAGAGCTTTCCTACCCCTGGGGGTTGGCGAACAATCCTCTCCCAACCCTGCCCATCTCAGAGTCACCCTCTGATGGGACAAGGTGAAAAGGTAATGAGACAGACTAGCACTGGCAGTGTTAGATGGAAAGGGCAGGTTGTTTCCTAACATAAGGTAATAGAAGAGAGGATCCTCTCCATCAGCTTGCACCCCATATCTGAGACAGGGATGCAGGAGAGCACTTCCTTCTGAGGACCAGTGGCACACTGAAGAGGTGCTTACCTGGAAGGCCACGGAGTTTGCAATAGTCAAGAAGATCCGCAGGGGCAGCGTGGCTTTGTAGGACCGATGGCTCCAGAGGCGGTGAGATCCAGCTGTTATCCCCAGAGCGCTCACCAGGAAACACAGAACGGCTGGAGAGGAAAAGAAAATGTTGGAGCACTTAGAGCAAGTCATCCTGCAGCAAAGATTCAGGCAGAGCAACACAAAGGCAGGCCTTACTCCAAAGCTGTATAAGCCAGAGAGGAACCCATGGAGAGCATTTTGGGGCAATAAAAATCAATGTGAGTGTCCAGCTACTACAGGCTTCCTAAACAACGTGGGGCAAATCACTTCAGGTCTTCACCTCTGACAAAGGAGGAGGCTCCCCCTCACCAGACGTCACAAGGATTGGTTCTTCAGCATAGTGCCATCTGTTGTGGTGCAGGATCATCAAAACTGTATAAAGTGACTGCTTCCATATAGCCCTGTGGTAACAGCTTTGCAGTCCATCTGGGAACAGCTTTGCCCTTTCCTCCCACCCTGAATAATCAAGGGTCTTGCTTTCCTATCTCATCACTCCTCACTGAATTTCTTTTGCATTCTTTTCACCCAGATGTGATAGATGATCTTACAGTTCTTCAGGGGGCAGCTCAAGCCAAAGGTTAGGATTCTCTTCTGCTCCCTTCCTGAGCAGAAGCTGTCTGGAAAAAGATCTAACGTACCATCCCACTGAAGCCTGAGCTTCCACCTTCAGCTCCACCACTGACCTAAAACCTGCCCAGAGGCTCCTGGTCCCAGGGTCTTTTTGATCTCTGCCTCTTCTCAGCTCCTGCACCATTTATGGAAGGAAACTCCAAGGCCAGCAACTCACTGCAAGCTGTGCCCACAGCAGAGGCTGATGCTGCTGGGCACAGTTAAGCTTTGAGGTGGCTTCACGAGTTCCCTACCCACACAGGCCAGAAGGAATTCCTTGCCTATCTGTCAGATAGTGAAGACACATCCTTCTCACTCTGCATCATTCACTTATGTCTGCCCTGATCTCTGTGTTCCCACATGTCCTCCTGGAACCTCTGGAACTCAACCTGGGTTCCAGCATATGGTCAAGGAACTAGCTTGGAGAAAAGACCCCATTAGGGTCATAGCAGCATTACACTAGGAAGCTGAGGATAAGAAGAAAATTTGATATGAAAATTAACTCTTCCTCTAGGAAGAAAAGGTCAGGGAGTTTGGCAGAAAGATGGAGGGCATTCAACAATTTGTTTGCCCTGCAAGCTCAGACACTGAAAGGGAAGGGTGCACATCAGTGCGTGGGTCAACTGATCCACGTACAATCCCATGGGAAGGGATGCCTTCTTACTGGTCCCACAGGGGAAACTCTTTCCTTGGTGTAAGTTTTTAGATTTCAGCCAATTGGATCAATCATGAAAACAGCTCTTTACTCTTACATGTAAACCAGCAATAGGAATTGTTGGTATGCTTGACAATACCATTCAGTCTAGCTCTCATCAAGCTTATCTTGAACCCACAAAATAGATACTCTGCCAGAAATTTGTCTGGAATCAGAGATCTGAGACATGCACAAGGCACTGTTGCCCTGTTCTTTCACTGAAAATAAACCAGGCTTTCCTATCATCTCTTGCTCCGTCTTCCTTCTGCCACGTTTTTTTTGTTTTTTCTACATCCCAAACCTAATCTGTTATCTGCTAAAAGCTGGTCTTGGATGATATAACATCCTCTTCTGGCCCCCTAAACTTGCACGAACCCTCCTCTCTCCCATCTCGCTGTATAACGGCAACCTTCCCTGCCTGCTGATCTGACCGTGACTTCCCATCTTCATCTTCTTTCTTGGCTCCCCTGCCAGCTACCAAACGCAGTGCAAGCTGCAAACCAGCACACCTCTGCCTTGTCTGTCCCAGCACCTCTGCGGTCTCTCAGAGGAGCCAAGCAGTCACGGCTCAGAACTGATTTACAGGGCATGAAGAGGGATGAAAATACATGCAAATGCAGCAGGATCCAGGCTTCGCAAGAGACAGTGGAGCTGAGCAAAGCTCACAAAGCTGGCCAAGCCTGGAAGGGGAGAAGGGAGGGATGCTGGAGCAAGGTGTTTGGTTCACGTCTCCCTTTGGCCTTACCAACGGGAAAGTAGTTATGCTGGACACCCTGAACGTCTCATCCAGCCCCATGATGCTGATTGAAAGTTATGAACCAGCTCCCCATTGGTTTTAGATTTTAAGACTGATTTTAAAATCAGTAACTGTGCCCACAGGTTCATAAAGAAGAGCAAACCTTGAGAAAGCACCTAACATATGACTGATTTGCAGAACCTCTCTGGCCTCAGATGCTGCAATAACAATAAAACCCATTCCTGGATGTTTCAGACACTTCCTACTTGCGACAGAAGTGTGACTCACCACCATCCTCCCTTGAACATAAGCAGTTATACCTTGCATACCACATTTCCTAAAACCTCTGGGCAACTTTATACCTACAGTGCACACCTCACTAGCCGAGGTAGATTTCCAAGGGTGACAAGCATTGCTGAGAGTAGAATCCAGGAGTCTGGATTTAACCTCCAACATATACAGACTCTATGAAAAACATCAGACAGGGAGTCCATGATAAGCAACAGCAGCTTGCAACAGGTGCATGGGACTTGCTAGCCTAGCTCCCCACTGCAGGGCTAATAGGCATGTTAATGGTGCACTGGGGACAGAAATGAACTATACAATCTCTCATGATCTTCAATAGCACAAGAATGTAAATGCCACGTTAGGTGAGTCCAGGCCCTATTTATAGCCCTGAGTTCAGATTTCCCTCTTTGGTGAATTCTCATGTGCTGACAGAGTATATTTTGGTAAAAGAGGCCTCCAGGAAGATGACTCTGGCTGAGGACTGTGGTATTTAAGCTTTGCAAGAATGAAGCTCATCTGTAACTCTTTTACACAGGCAATTCTCAGAATTTGCCTGCCAATATCCCACTCAGGAAAAGATGATGCCAGCAACAAAGACGTATCAGCAAGCACAAGGAATCACAAAAGACACATGGTGGGGACACTGACAGACCTAGAAACCAGGCAACCCAGTGCTGCTTTCGGGTAGGCTCGTCTGAAAGCTTTTGTTAAAAATTTGGAGGAGTACCCACTGCTTTTGGGTGCCCTGGCATAGAACAGTCATGGCCTTCATCCAGAGTCCATGATCCTGAGCAGCTCATGCTGACTTCTCTTGGAGCTGCGCCCCAGGCCACTACAACAGCCACAACTCTAATTATAATACCGTGCTGCCTTGCTTCTTGCCCATATACAGCAGCTGCAGTTTATCTAAGGAGCAGACACTTTCTGTGGGAAAGAAGCTGATTCTCAGTCTGCATACATGGCACCCAGCCCCACAGAAACCCAAACCCTGCCTGGATTCTATTTGCTCCATCCGCCATACCAAAGAGGAGTTGTGACAGTGACAGGATACAGACATTAAGATTGAAAAGCCTGGTGGGAAACAGAAGAATCCAGCACCCTAATGATTCAGAGGGTTCATCTCCACAAACAGGTACAATGATGATCATTGCATAGCGAGGGAATCAGCTTCTCACAGGGAAGAAGAAAAGCTCCTCCAAGATTGTCCACTAGGAACAAAACTGGAAAGAGAGTGGAGAAGGTGAAATAAAGTAACAGATTTTTACAGCTGCCCTGTGATGCTGCCCCAAACTGAAGGACTTAAGGACTTTATCAGCTGAGGTTTCAAAGTCATCTTCCACACCATACTCTGAAGTATCCAAAAGATTGTCCACTCACAGGTGATGTTTCAAATGACCCACTCAACCGGAATACAAAGAATTAATACCACTGGCAGTAATATGCACTCAGCACTCCAAAAATTAAACTCAAAACATTCCAGATTCAGTCATGTCTATATGACTCACTAGCCTTTACCTCTTTAGGGCCCAGATTCAGACCACAAGTCATGACGGGAAGCCAGAAATGTGCTAAAGGCATTGTCACCTGCAGTCCACACCAAGGATGTTTCCATGAAGACAGGTGTCCTTGGGCTTCTGCTCAGTGCAAGGGAAAACTACAGCTTTAGACTCTTCCCTCCTTGCCTCCCAGATTCTGCTAGCCAGGTGAGTCCTGTTGCTCACGGGAGAAAGACACCAAGAGCAAGGAAACATGTACAGGCTGCGTAAGGGGAACAGTATTTAGGAAGAGCAATAGGAGCTAACTTCCCAATCTGCCAGATCAGAACTTCCCCTCCACGCACGGAGGAGAAGCACGCCACCTGCTAGTTAAGCCTGGAGAGGACACTAAGTGGGGAGACGTTGCCAGCAGTAGTCTTGATGGGATAGTAACAAAAACCTTCTGTAAACATTTTGCTGGGCACATCCCTGGGGGTAGTACTGGCTGAGATTTTCAGGCTGTCAGAACTGCTTAAATTATCCAGCAAGACTCTTCTTGGTCCAAAGATGATGCAGCAGCAACAAAAAAATTATATCAACCAATGTTTCTGGCACCACTGGCACTGCAGGGAGCTGAGGTGTTGTCAGAGCACCACATTGAGAGGAACTATCACTGTTCTATAGCCATTGTTGGCCAGCCCAGCAGGGGTTAACACAAATATCACTAGCCTGCTGTACCTGAGGGCCAGGAAGACAACCTGCAAATCATGTTTTCAGGGAGGGTCAGAGCAGTTAGAGGAGAAACTGTCAATCACATTTGCATTCTGCCCTTCCAGACTCAGTCTCTGTGCTGTTTGGCAAAGGACATGAAATCTGCCTGTGATCCCTGAAAAGACTGCGCAAGACTTCGTCAAGTGCAGTGAAGAAGACAGTAAATAAAAGGGGAGCTGGCTAGAAAGCCAGTGCTGGAAAGGCTCAGAGAGCTCTTGTTATGGTGAGCTCTCACCTGATCAACAACCCCAGCTCGTTCTGGGAAGCTCTGTACCAGAAAGAGATCAGGGGATACAATGCACACAGCAACGCAGAACAGCAAACAATGATGAAGGCAGGGCTGGAGAGCTTGAGAGACAAAGAATTAGCACACAGAGAAATGAAAACAATAGAGGACACAGTCACCAATATAACTGGTTTCAGAGGGACAGGAGCATCAAGGGGACGGTGGCATGGATGAAGAGGATAGCTCCTTATAATAAAATATAGAAGGTAAACCAGCTATCAGGCACCTCAGCTGCCTGTAGCATCACAGAAGAGAACAGCTGGGGCCATGTTAATTTTATAATATATGTACACAGACTGAGGAAGGAATGACCTGAAAAACAAACAAAGCAACAAGCAAAAACCCCAGCAGCTCCAGAACTGCCACTGGGAGAGCTGCTCTGCCATAAGCCCACGGTGTATTGCTGGGAACAACGCGAGTCTGCTGTTCTATCCATGTGCATAAAATGGGAATCATAGTCCTCTCCTTGCTATCAGGAGGTTCCTGGGAAAATAATAGCAAGTGACTGAGATGACAGCCACAGATGCCTTGTATGTGCTGAAGAAAGTTATGAACTGAGAAAAGGGCAATGCAGCAAGGAACAAGGAGCCCTGCTGAGAAGCCAGACCTATGTAAGATCAGAGTATCCCAGCTCCGGTGAGAACTGGAGAAGAATGGACTAGAGGGGAAAGCTCTGACTCAGCTGCAAGGTGCAGGGAAGGGTGGTCCTTTCCCAGAAAAAGTGCCAGGGATGCAGGACAGGGAGCTCTGTGGAGCTACTCCAGCTTTGGTGAGGCAGGATAGATCTTCAACCAGTCCAAAACAGTGCAGTTCCCCCAAATTCCATGTCCTTCTCCCACTTCCAGAGCATTTGTCACTCCAGAAGCCACCAAGGAATCTTGCAGTGCCTCACAGTGGCAGGAGAGCACCTGGCACTTCACATCAGAGTTGCCTACTGGAGGAGGTGAGCAGGAGGGACTGGCATCGCGTAAAAGCAAGACAGTGTCCCCCAAAATGCCATGGGATGCCATGCAGACATCCCAAACCGGCACGTGATTGCAAAGACACTGCCTCAGAGACCATTTTGGGGTAAGGTGGGGTTTAGCAGAATGCAAAGCAGCATTAATCTTCTGGATCAAGATGCTCAAGCCCCCTTAAGTATCTCAGGGAAGGCTCAAGGGAGAGGGTTGGATGGATTTGGAAATCATGGTGCATCTCAGCAGCTTGAAACGAGACACGTTTTTCCTCTTCCTTGCCCCAATGCCCTGAGGTTATTTGGCTGGAGCTGGAGAACGTAGGCTGTCAGATCAGTGAGTGAGAGAAGCCAGCAGCCCCTGCCTAGCCTCCCGCTGAGAGCCCGGGGATGGGACACACAGAGCAGCACCGAGAGTCCTGCAATGCTCCTCCAAGGTCATGCGGAGGCTGCATGACATTTCCCCAGCCCTACCATCCTGGGGAAAAGTGCAGCCTATCAGGTTTTCACAAGGGAAAGGTCCAGTCGTATTTCCTCCCCAAAAGGCCATGCTGGCTGCACAAGGAACACACCAATGCCCCTGCTTTTTCAGATGCTGTAGCCAGCTTCTGACCAAGTCCTGTGGCCTCCAGTGATACTAAGCCCTCAGGCCTCTGCCTGTGACAGGCTGAGGTGGTCTGGTGCAAAAGAGTCAGTCTGGCTGTCCAGGGAGTCACCTCTTTCCCAGTCCACCTGTGATGCTTGTTGCTCACAGCTGTCTGGAGGACAGACCTTGAGTGTGACAGACCAGGTGAATCACTCCAGGGCCTGTCCAGAGCTGGGCTGGCCAGGATGCTGCTCCCAACTGATTTAAAAAATGCAGCACCGCTGAAACAAAAAGCCATGCCAGCAGGTCTCAAATTAGACTGTCGCTTTTTGTTTCAGGATGCTCTGTTTCACAGGAAGGCAGGGGCTGGATGCAATCTCTTGACCTCCCTACTGGGAGCCATTTGGCTTCTTGACTTCTCCAAGGGTCCACACAAAGGCTCGTGGAAAGCTGGGCTCCCCTGCAGCTTGGGCCCTGGGCCCAGCTGCCTTTCAAGCAGTCAAAGGAGAAGTCTGGTTCCTACCCAGGGCAGGGTCTCTGAGAAAGGGGAGCTTCGCCTAGCTACTTTCTGCTGCGTTGTGCTTTCCACTGGAATTTGCTGCCTGGAGAGCCGCTTATTTATTTTTTGGAAGTTGTCAGGCTTAGTTCCGGGATGATGGGGGCTGATGTGTGCTTTTGTAAGAATGATAAAAGACCTGAGTTTCAGATTTAACTTCTGACTTTTATCTTCAGCACAACTGTATTTTGCCTCTTTCCTCTCACACTCATGGAGGCTCTGGAATTTACCCTCCCTTGGTAAGGCAGGAATTGTTCTTGTCTGTAGACAGCAGCCTTATGCCAAAATGCATACCTTGCCTTGGTATGTACCAAGCCTTATGCCAAAATGTACCTTGCCTCCCCAGCCACCTGTTCAAGCGCTCTTGCTAGCATCTTTCTTCCCAACTTTCTGGGACTGTCTCAGTACTCCATTTTCTATCTGTCACCCCAGAAGTGGCTGCACATTCAGGTGTGGGCTACTTCCAAGCCTAATCGTTTGTTCTTTAAACAACTAAGCAGTCCCCTGCCAAATCATTCCTGTTCACGCATGACCTTACAAGAGACACTAGCAAGCTCTCCCACAGCTTGCTACAAAGCTGGTTGAGTAGCTTCTTCTAACAGAAGACCTTTACTTCCTTCTTTCTCCTCCCTGAGTCTGTGGGCCTGGAAGAAAAAAAATCACCACCCAACAGATTTGGGGTTTTCAGATGCCAAGAAACAAATGGAGGGACATACTTACCCCATGCCAATGTCTGGACCTTGGCAGAAGGTATCAGCATCAACCCAAATATAGCCCCTAGATGCAGCAGGCTCATGAGGATGATGTTCCTCCAGACGTATCGCATGGGGGGCTTGGGGCCCTCTTTCTCCTGGTAGGTCTCATCAAACATATCGTCTACCATGCCCCGGTCTCCTGCCAAGTCCTCATGATTGAGTAAGTCCTTCTCCATGACAGCATTCCCATTCCTGGTCACCCGGGAGGTGACTGTGCCGACAATGGTGGTGCTGGAAGCGGAGGAGAACTCCTTGGAGAGGCGGCAATGGACATTTTCAAGAAAGGAAAAAGGAAAAACAAAACAAGAAGTTGTTGGTTACCAATGCAGAGCTTAGAAACATGAGCAGCTAGGCTGGCAGTTCCAAGACTCGCAGTCTGCAGTCTCCCTGTCAGGCTCCATACTTTCAGCTGACCCCTTGGCACCAAGAAGACCCTGCTTTGGCCCCCCGGACTCGTGGCCTGATCTTTCTGGGGAGAGGAGGTGAATGGCAGACAGGGTGCAGGAAGTAAAGAAAAAGACTGGAAAGCTAGTGGCTTTTTTTCTACCAGTGGCCTTGGTGAGATCATTTGCAGGCTGCAAGGATTTTCATTTTCCTTCAGTTTTATTAGTGGGTGTTTTTAGGTTGGCTTGTGGTCTGAGCTTGTGCATAAGCAGACAACAATAAAGGAAATCTTGTGAATGAAGAGGCGGGAGAGAAATATGGTCTGAAATATGGTTTTATTATAAATCATCGGTCTGCTTCTGATATCCTGCCTCTTTCTGTCCCTCCGTAAGGGATCACTGGGGGATCATCAGAAAGATCCACAGGGGGATTCTTCTGGGGTGCCTCCTTATCCTCCCCGCCTCACCTTCCAGACTGGGCCATGGCAAGACTGACATGCCTGGAGATAAATGGATGGAAGCAGTCGAGCAATGTACTTCCAGTTAGACCGACAGCTCCTATCCCATGCCTGCTGCTAAGCCTCTTATCCTTCTCCCGCTTTCTACCCACAGGCAAACTGAGGCACGAGAAGACAATCCTCTGAGAGGAAGTTTTAAGCAGCAAATTGGCTCAGCCTGGCTCCCGGCTCCCTCCTGTAACTGTGACACAACATTCCCACTGCACATGCTTGTCTGCCCTGGCTGAGTGACAGCCTGCCCCATCAGGCATGCATGACGAAAGGAGCAGGCAGGACTGACCCTAATGAGAGAGGTCACTGAACCCTGAATCACTGATTGCCATCTCCATCATGACAGCCACATGCTTGCTGGTGCTCACAGCCTTTTGTCAGGCCCGAGCCCAAGCACCCGATGTGGCTCGACCCTGGGGGTGCCAAGCACAAGGGATGCGAGCGGTGGGAGGGCACGCCGCCCCCATCCCTCACCTCCTGGGAACCTGCCCGATGGAGACGTCCCTCTACCGCCTGTGCCGCTGCCTCCACGTGCAAAGGGGCAATACAGGTTAGCTGGCAGGAACAGGAGAGCCGGGACTGCAGGAGGGAGCGTGGCCAAGCCAGGAAAGCTCCCTTCCCAATAGAAATTTCTCCTGAATTAATAGCAGATTCCCACCCAGGCACCCAGCATTCATAAAAGACCACCATTCTGCCATGGCCTAGTTTCCTGTGGGAGGCATTAAAAATCAGGCCAGGCAGCTTACGTGGCCACCCCAACTCCTCCCTTTCCCAAGGGTAGAAACTAGAGGGTTAGAGGCATACCTTCCTACGGGGAGGAGCTGGCAGAGCTGACAGATTCCCCACGTTTGGGAAGTAAAATGATCTCTACAGAGGGAGCCCTCTAAGTTTTTCCTTCTGGAATCAAAGGTTAGAAAGGAAAAAACCTGGACACAAAGTAGCCTGCTGCTTTCTCTAAACCAGCCAGCTGCTGAGCTCGGGACCGGGTCCCTCTGCATGCCAGCTATAGGCTGTCTCTGCCTGCTTTCCTAATTAATATTTCAAGGGTATGACACTCTGTGCTGCTGGAGAATTTAGAGGCAATCCCCTCCCCAAAAGAGGCATGAGAAATGTCTTCTAATCCAGAGATTAGGCAAAGAAAAGACCTGCCCATTTCAAAGTGTCAGATATTCTCATCTGGCATTTTGGCAGGAAGGCAGAGTTTTCTTCCTTGGCTGGAAAACAATCTACCAAAAAGACCTAAGACTTGTCTATGCAGGCAAAATTCCCAACAGAGATCTGCTGGTATAATTAGACGGGTAACGCTCCCCATATGGACATGCTGCTTCCAGAGTAAGAATGTTGGGTTGGAGTCGCATTTTTCTCCTCCGCGATAGCTTATGTCACTGTCAAAGTTACGCAGGGGCAGAAGAGGAGGAGGGAGAACACAAAGAAAGCAGCAGAGAGGAAAAAAAATCTCTTCTTCCTGAGTCGTAGTAGCCACATAAGGAATTTTACCAGCATACCTATGCTGCTGGAGTTACACCGATAAAATCAAAATGGTCATTTCTCACATGGAAACTAACCTTAAATCAAAAGCTTAAATCAAATAAAGCAGCCCTGAAACACAGCTCCACCGTTACAGACTTGGGGGGGGGTCATGGGGGGGAAGAGGGAGGGAAGGAGAGTGGGCAGCTATTTAGCTGGAGATCAGGGAAGTGAGGAGGAAAGAAAGGATTTTTACCCCCTTATGGCCACAGTGGCTCCTGCAGCTCCTATGGAGGAAAATGGGATGGGGATTGATCTGGGGTCTAGAGCTGAGAGGGGGAGGAGGCCAGCTAAATCGTTTTGATGAGCTCTCCCTCATTTCTGAATGACTCTGCAGCTCTCATCTGCAGAACAGATGTGTTCCCCCATCTCCAATTTCCCCCCCCAGCACTGAACACGCCATAGGTGATCCTGGCACCTAGCCAGCTTATACAACCAACTGCAGCTCAAAGGCTCCCTGGGTTCAGCCTAGGGGCCCCAGGGCAGTCAATCTCGGGTCCAGTATATTTGACTATGCCCAACGTGACCCAGGGACAGGATTCTTTCCAGCCTCCAGGATATGCCCCAAAATACATGCCAAGACCATGAAACACGGTCTGAGAACACTGCTCTTGGCATCCTTTTCGGGTGGAGAGAGGAGTAAAATTCTTTGCATCACAGCATCTCTGGAAGGTCACAGCACCTGCACAAAAGGACTAGGGGAGACCCCACACGCTGGCAACAGGCAAGAGAGCAGGACTGTGATTTACCTCCACTCCTCAGCATAGGCAGAAGGGGGAAGGATGAGAAGGAGAGAGCAGGATGACCAGAATCAGCCCCTGCCTCCCCTCAGGCAAAGGATGGCTGCCAGGAGGGGCAAAGATAAAAAATAAAATCTCCAAAAATCTAACAGCTCTACGGATCTTCCTGGTGGCAGGTTGTTATTCAGCCCTTCTTGTGCCAAAAACGGGCAGTCTCCCTTCCCATTGTATGTTTGCTTGGCTCAGGCAATGCAGACAGAGTCATTCATTTCATCTGGGCAGCTGGCGCTTTCACCTTGCGTCTGTCCTAGAGACGCTCCCTGCTGCAACACTTCCCTTAAAAATGCTGTGAGTGAAAGCCCTTGCTTATTAGAAAAAAAAATTTAAAAAAAAATTTAAAAAATCAGTCTGAGCACTACCGAAAACCTCATGACCTCTGAGCACAAAAGACCTTCCTGAACAGCCTTCACCAGCAGGCACAGATGGATGTTTTAAAGACAAACCTGTATTTTATGCTCAGTCCATGGCAGGGCATAGACTCCGAGGGGAGAGAAATCCAGCGGCAGGGAGCCCCGCTTCATTCAGGTCTCCCCACGAGGGATGTGGAATGACTTCGCCTGATGACTGAGAAGCGGCACAGAGAGGGCACATGCGCACACACATATGTGCATCTGTGGGTGTGTGTGCGCGCGTGTGTGTGTGCCTGCACGGACACGCGTGGATGCCCAGACCCTTTTTTCCCCACGACAGCGGCAGCGCAGTGCTGTCGGAACCGCGGAGATGAAGGGGGAAGGGGCGAGAAGACAAAGCACCCGCACTCCCCGGGCCCGCCGGCAGCCCGCTCCTTACCTCCTCCTGCAGCAAGTGCGCAGGCATGGGGCGGCTCTCTGTCTGCTCCTCGGCGACGGTTACGCGGGTGCGCAGCTCCCCGGCGGTGGCGGCGGGAGG